GTCAGACAGGTGTGGCAGGATGAGCTAAAAGAGCTGATGATAAGGTAAAGGATGAGGGTACCATGGTCTAAACAGAAATAAAGGTAAATCTTAACCCTGGATTTAGCTTCTCTGGGAGACTGCAATCTGTGCCTCGATACTGCCCTGATATTTACTTTTCTTGATGCTGGACAGATATTGAGTGAGAAGCAAGGTAGGAGAGGAAAGGTTTGTTCTGGCTTACAGTTGAGGGGCTCTGTCCATCACATCAGAGAAGGCAGGGCAGCAAGAGATGGAGACAGTTGTTTACCCAGGATCAGTTAGGAAGCAGAGAGTGGATAGGAATGAGTGTGGCTGTGAAGATTCAAGACCCTCCCCTAGTGGCTGATATCCTCCATCAGGGTTCCACCTCCTAAAGATTATACAGCAGTCTAAAACAGCTCCATAGACTGGGAATGACATGTTCAAACACATGAGCCTATGGGGTGCATTTCACATCCCAACAACAGCACACAGATAGTCTTACATTTAAACTACTATACTCAATGACTTACATGAAATTTACTTAGAAATAAATCCTTAGTACTAGATTCAAAGAAAGCAATTAAAAATATATACAAGGAAGTCATCATCACAAATGAAATTTCCAACCAATATTTATTTGCTGAAGCTCTGCTTTGTTGTAAGCATACAAAATTGAACCTTAAGATAGTACATCAAGAAATTAAGACCTCAAAATGTTCAAAGGGTGGAGTAGATGGCAGAGAAGTAAGTAAGGAGTTTAGTAAGGCTGTGAGCTTCCTACAAGGTAGCAAACTAAGAAACCAAACAAACTAAAGAATTAACTGGGTTCTACTGTTCTGTGTATAACCAGCAGCCATGGGACCTCAAGCTGATGTAAAAAATAAATAGTGCTGCATGAATTAAACAAGCTAGCGCATAAAAAGCATCAAACACAGTGCTTGCACAGAGTATATGCTTAACAGATTATGCATTAAACATGCTCTCGGTATCAACTGCAAAGTAGTTATTGCTGTTATTTTCTGAAGAACCTGTCACCATTCTTAGTACGTAACAACCCTTAGTGTTTGCTGACTGAATACTGCTGAATGGAAGTACACTGTGAGGAAAATGAACAACCAAGCCCAGGGAAGTCGTAAACACTCCCTTCTGGCTCTCTCCCTCTGAGAATTTTCTAGCAGAAACGTTTCATTTTTTTTTTTATTGTTTCACGTGGTTATGGCTGTTGGATTGCCAAAGTATGCTAAAAACAATGGGATTGTTTTCTCGACTGCTAGCACCACTCAGCAGTAGATCTTTGAGTTTTCCACCCTGTTATTAAATAATATGAAACACGACAGTTCTCCTAAGTTGTACTTGGATGGCCTCAAAGGTTTGAGACATGCTAGAAGAGCATATGAATGCCGCTAGGTCCTTTGGTAGCAAACAGAGGTCCGTCGTTTCAGGTGTCCAAGTTTCTGAGGCTAGTTGGAAGAAGTGTCTTTATTTTCCTCAGTCCTTTGAACCTGGTTCCCACTTTCTGCCACCATGGTGAACATATTTGCACTCCCCATAGCACACTGGCATACATTTATTTATTACCTATTGTAAAACTAGATGCTGGGAGGAAATCTGCAAAACACAAATCAGTGAAGAAATGGTCCCATATCTAAATCCATGCTATCACTCAGCCACCAAGTGTATGTGGCATGTGATATTTCATCCTGGTTCCAGCTGTCTCTTGTTGAAGAGTACATCCTTGAAATCAACAACTCTCCAGTCACAAGAGAGCAAGTTCAGATCAACTCTTTCTTATTGAAGAACACTATAACCTTGGAAAACATGATAAATTGTTTTCCACTTCTGTTTGATTTATGGGATATATTAAATAACATCATTAGTTAGTTTGATAAGGATAAAATGAGTTATATCCAATACACTCTCAGCATGGAGCACAGAACTGTGCTCTTGGTGGTGTTTTCTCATAACTTTAGTTACTAATGTAAGACTATTCAGTATCTGCCACAATTAAAATTATAATCTGTTGTAAAAGAATTCTATATCAAACATGTAATATTACAAAAGTCAGTATAGCAGGATAGTAGCAAAATGGACAACACCACCAGAAAACAGAATTAACACAAAAAAAGAAGTGGGGGATGGGAACACATATAAACCACCAAAACCAAGTCAACTAAACAAAAATGTATGGAGGTCAATACTAAATTAAGATACCAAGTCCATTTGGGAAGCTGGAACACTCATAAATGGTTACCTGTGCTATGTAAACTAGGAAGACATATGATAAGGACCAGGATATATATATTGGAGGCCTCTCCCCAGATAGATGTAAGCAAATATTACACTACAACTATAGACTCACATGAAATTTGAGTCTAAATCTACAAATTATATGTACATTTCTTTCTCCTTTAAGTTTTCTATAAACAAACAAATTCAAAATACTTGATGTTCAGTTTGAAATATGTGTGACAGGAACCACACAGAACACAGGGCCTCCTCTAGGGGAGGATGGAGTCTAATTTCTACTCCTCTAATACTCTAGATGGAGTATTAGAATTTGAATTATCTGTTAGCTTCCAAAGGCCTCACAATCTGAGCTTTCAGGATTGGGGGCCATAAAAAACATCAGCGCCTGGAAGGATGTCTACAAACATCCCTTATTTCTGTGGATGCGTTTTATTCTATTGTTTAAAACCAATAGCTGGTGCATAGAAAGAATAACAGTCATTAATAATCCAATGAATATAAAAAGCCAAACAAAAATGTTCCTTAGATCTGACCTAATGCTCTTCCAACTCAGAGCCCCATAAGACAGTCCAACAAAGGAAGATAAATTACATCAAAACCCAAAAAAAAAAACGATTACAGGTCATGTGCTGGAAATGCACAGGCCAAGCTAAGCTATAATCTGACTAGATCATAGTGAAGAAATGCCATGGTGCACAAATAAAATGAAAAAAATCTAGACATTCAAAATTAGTTTCAAAATTAATATTTTTCTAGAAAACAATTCTTTTCATTACAGTTAATATTTTTCATACAATCAATATCAAATGACTATCAATTAGAGACATTTTAATCAAAATAGGTAACATTTCTATTTCATGTAATTCTATAGATTTTACACTGATTTTTTTCCCTAGTATTTTAAACACTGCCCTCCTTACACACTTCCTGAGTCAGTCTGTGTGTTCAGTAATTTTGATCTCACTGAAGACTTTTTAATACTATGCTTTAAGAGGGAAAGAAGGAAGATCCAGGCAAGTCTGAGGGCTAGTCTGGTCTACATAGCAAGTCCTAGGGCCAGCCAAGACTACATGGCTAGAGCCTGTCTTCAAATTACAAACCTGTTTCTCTTTTAGCCCTAAGTGTTTCAGGTACAAATAAAATAGAGTCAATAGGTGAGGAATAAAATTCTCCTAGATTGCACTAGGAAGCATGGGAGTGAGTCAAGCATGGAGCTTCACATCTGCTCAGCTGCACAGTTGCATTGGGACAAACGAGGCATGGTGCTGCACTGCTGGAGGCAAGCCAGACATGGTGCTGCAGAGCTGCAATTCCTGTACTTGAAAGGCTGAGGTATCAAAGTGAGGAGTTTAAGATCAGAGTGTACAAGACCCTAACTTATAAAAAGAATAAGAAAGAAAGAAAGAAAGAAAGAAAGAAAGAAAGAAAGAAAGAAAGAAAGAAGGAAAGAAAGAAAGAAAGATAGATAGAAAGAAGCATGTATGCAGGTTAATAAGTTTAACCAACTTCAATGTTTGATATCTTCAGCCATCAATCTAGGGTCTTGGGGGTTAGCTTCTGCTCCAAACACCATGCTAGGTTGATATATTGAAGAGTACCAGTGACATTGATAGCTAGTCTTTGTAGCTGGCCCATCCATAACCCAAACCAAAAACAACAGCAAAATTTACTGAGGAAAATATTCCACACTAGGAAGATTTTATGTCTTCTCAGATAAAATATATCCTTGTACCATGTTTACAGACACTCACTAACAGAAGTTAGAGAGATTAAGGGTAGCTTTATCAGAACTCGCACTCTGCTGCCTGTAGAGTATTTATTTGTATACTTGTATAATATAATATTATACTTTCAAATAAAAATGCAGATGCAAGAAGATCATGAAAATAAAGTAAGAAAAAACACATGAATACAGTTCTCACTAAGAGATACAGAATACTTAAGGAAATATATAGCATGAAAACTAATTACTTAAATTCAATGAAATAAATTGTGGCTGCAAGTGGTTCTTGGAAAAGAAAGTACAACAAATTTAGGACATTAGACCCTGAAAAGAACCTCCAGGTTTCATCAGAGCAAGAGCTTTGTGAAGTTGATGAGTAACTATATACATAAGTTTTTATCCATTCGTATTGCATAAATGCAGAGTGATGTTCTTTAACTACATATAGTCATAAAATTTGTTATACATTAAAAATAATAGAATGTTTTCAAATTTATTGCAAGTTTTAAAAAGAAATACGCATTCTGTATTCTGGATAATAGGAACAAACTCTGTAACTCTATAAGGTCATTCAACTCTGGTATCAAAATAAATTATGCTTGGAATTAGCTAGGACCTACTGATTTGTTTAAATTTATCATTGTCTTAGGATTAATAGAGAAGTGACTGACAACATTGAAAATTTCAGTTCCCTTTTCCTTTCATGAAGCTACCACGTTACACCAAACATATTTCAAGTATAAAAATTTACTCATTAATACAATGAGTTTTTTTTATTAGAGAAAGTTATTTGACAGCACAATCATAGTATTTGCTTCATTTCAAAGATGTTTATCACCTTACTGATGCTGTAAATGTTTTCCTAACACAGACGAATAATTCTGTATCTGGAAGTGATCCTGAGTGTGGACATGCTGCAGTCCTGCACTCTATTTTGGAGTCAGTTACCTGTGAGAACTGTGAATCCTTCATTGCAGCAGCCACACCCAGCTGTTAACTTAAGCAGTCTGCAAACAAAGAGACTCACCTCAGGCTCAGGGACAGCAGCTGCTCCTTGGACTTCAGCAGTTCCCCAACTTGAAAACTGGCAGAGCCCAGGAAGCTCCTCTGAAAATAACGAAGAATGTTTTCCATCAACTTCTGGGATTCTTTTTAAGTTTCTGTTCTCACACCAATTACACAGAGTTAGTTTTGAAAAGAACAAACTACGGACTCAACTAGCCCCCAATGTTTTACTGACAGAAAGAATGCTGAAATATTAACTTGGTTAAAGACAGACATTGACAGCCTGGGAAATAATAAGAAGTAAAACACAGCAGTCAGGACTTTCCCACTAGCTATAATTTCCTCCTCCCAAGAAAACTAGGGTCAAAGAAGATGCTAAACTTTCAATATTCACCAAGATAACCACTTACTAGAGTTCCTCAAATCACTGGCAACAGCAATTCTGTGTTCAAGATATGAGAAAGTCTGCCTCTTGGAGCTATTTTTACATGGGTCTCTGAGTTATAAATAGAAAGACAACATTTCTCCCCATCACAGAAGCATTTAGAAGCATTTGTTTCCCTTTTTTAACTAGCCTGGGACAACTTCATCCCAAACACACAAATAAATAATACTTCAGTTATGTTTTCTAAAGTTAGTTTTTAAACATCTCACAACTGGGTGTCATGTATACCAGTAAATATTGGATATCTACTCTTTTCAACTCAATGTAAAGAAGTCAAACTGTAAGTTGTTTTTTATTCTCTGTCTTGGGATCAGAAACTTTTGACTGTTCCTGGCTACTTCTGATTTGAATGTGACAACATTATGAAATAAATGCCAATAGAGTATTTCTCACATTCCTTCAGGGCATTGACTAAACATAAAAGTGTCAAAACCTTATAGTCACCCATGCCATGGCTGATGGCAGCATGTGATACCACATAAGAGGCCAATAGCATATCTCCTGGACTTGTCTTAGCACAGCTATGCGAGACTATGCTTGAACAAAAATGCCTGAGACAGTGGAATGCTTTCAGAGAAAATAGAAAATCATTCTACACACCAAAAGAGGCAGTATATATACTGAGTTATTGCTGAAAGAAGAAAAAAATCTAGTCAGAATGCTTTTCTAATGCATATGTGTATTGCCTGCATGTTTGTACATTTGGTTGAGCAAGGAAGCCAGGATAAGGAATCAGATCCCTTGGAATTAGAGTTACAAACAGTTGTGAGCTGTCATGTGGGTGCTGAGAACTCAATCGGGTCCTTTGCAAGAGGGGCAAGTGTTCTCTACTGCTGAGCCATCTCTCCAGCCCAAGGTCAAAATATTTGAACCTCTTTTCAAAATTCTGCTGTAGAAGAACAGGTTCAGAAGGGTTTAAAGACAGACATCTGAAAACACAACTTGATTTTTAAATTATACAGAACTCTATTAATATTATCCCCAGTTAGATAAGTTGAAGCTCAGAATTCTATAATAAGCACCCAGTCACCAAGGATTGGGAATTCTGAACTCACATTGTTAGATGAAAAAATACTGGGTCTTTTCCTTCCAGGGGACTTGAGGAGCAACAGGAGAAGTGTGAATGGAAGTTGAAAGCCTCCATCAGGGACCTTACCAACAGAATAATCAGAGTGACTGGTGAACAAGAGCAGAGGGCAGAGGACACACCAAGCCCACTGAGACACTTAAACTCCCTCCTCACAGAGCCTCTGGAACAGACACCAAAAGACACTCACTGTCTAACACACTCTCTCTGTGTCTCTCGTCATTTTCTTTCCTCCATTTATATTGAACACCACTGGATATATTTTAAATGGCTTATCTTAAATCCCTGCAAATAATTGAGATTTGAAGTTCCGCAAAGATAATTATTTTCTGTTATACTCTGCTGAATACACACTAAAGAAGTCAACAAAATGTTAACTGGCAACAAATGAGAGACTGACAGACACCATATTTCAAGTAAGTGACTCATTTACTTATTTTTGAGGCAAGATCTTGATCAATAGCCTAGAAGTCACTACATAGCACAGGGAGCCTTGAACAGACAATAATCCTCCTGTCTCTGGCTCCTTCAGCCTGAATTACAGGCATGTACCATCACATCTAGGTCAACCACATTCTTTTAATGCAAGGGGAAGACACACTCATTTTGTTGTTATTTATAAATCACTGTAACTCACAAAAATGAGAATATATGAGAAACATTGTATACAAATAATATAGCAAAATACCAGTCTAGCAACTTGCGATTTAAATATTTGTAAATGTGTATTTGGCTACTTTTTAAAATCATGTGTATGTGTGTCTTGGGGCTTAGATGCATGCATGTGAATGCAGGGCTCCCTGGAATGCTCAATTTCTCTGGATTTGGAGCTACACACAGTTGTAAGCTGCCAGGTGGATGCTGGGAGTCAGCCTGGGACTTCTAAATGAAGAGCTTAACCACTGAGACATCTCTCTAGACCACACTACAAACTTAAAAACCATGTGTATTCCACCTTCTCTTTCACTGATAATTAGGGGTTTTAACTTAAATTCTTATAGCTCTTCCTATTCATTATTCACTTTCCAACAACATTCTTAACAGATGGAGAATTTGACAAAACACTTGACTTCTAAGCTTGTTTGATGCACCCTTTAAAATTGTGTAGGTCTGAGGAAGGTAGAATAAAGGACTACATGCCATGATAACATGGTGGTCTTTTTAGCCATAAAGTAGCAATTGACTCAAACATGAATTCTGCAACTAGAGGCAGGTAGAATGGCTACTTTTAGGGATGAGCTATGGAAACACCATAGGCACAGCTGCAAGTAAGATTGGTGACCACAAAAAGGACTGTCTTTGTCTGCTGGACCAGGAGCCCTTTCAGAAGCAGACCTGTAGCTGGTCAGTCTCAGAGACAAGCCCAGGGTTGTTAACAGAGCTTCACATGTCATGCATTATGCTGTAGTGTGCCAGGGATGGTGACCCTGTAGCAAGCACTCCCATCATAACTGTCGTCAGCCCAGGCTGGGTCTCAGTCTGGATCTGACACTTCAGAGCTTCCCAAAATAAGACACATTAAAAATTAGTATTGGTAAAGGCCTTATAGCATACTTGCCAAATGAGATGAGACATTACTTAGTTACAAAGGTTTATTTTATTCAATATCTAACTTCATATATGAACTTCATGCTGGATGAAATGAACTATCAAAATGCCCAATTTTGTTAATTTTTTTATTTATTCACATACTAATCCAAATGTAATTATATCACTTTCCCCCTGTGTCCCTTCCTTCTAACCTCTTCCATGCCACCCCACTCTTAAACTGATAGCTTATTTTTCTTTATAATTGTCCACGAATGTATGTATCTATGGACACACACACACACACACACACACACACACACACACACACACACACACACGAATAACCTTTAAGAGGGGGAAAACAACACACAATGCTAGTGTAAAACCATAGTGTATTTCTGTGTGTGTGTGTGTGTGTGTGTGTGTGTGTTCTCTTATAGCAGTGTAACACCAAATAAGAGAATATATATTAAAAAGATCATAAATTTCACAAGACCCCTAACTTTGTAAGCTTGTTCAACTTGTGCTTTGAAGTTGTGTTGTTCTTGGTGACTTTATAATTAAGCAAACTATTCATGCCATGGTATTATGATGGTCTTTTTGCCATCAAGTAGCAATTGCCATATATATTCATGTATTTATGTGTTATATATAATACATAAATATATAATATAGTTTATGTGTATATTTTGTGTGTGTTTGTGTTGACTTTATTTTATTGTTTGTGTGCATATGGTTTCAAGGTTGACCACTTTGCCTTGGAGTCCCCAATCAGGGAGCTCATATTTGGAAAAGCTTAATTCTTCCTCTCTCGGCAGTCATTAGTTGTCTGTAGCTCTCTATCTGGGGGAGGAGCGTAAGATTGCTCCGTTTCACTGTGGCATGCCTGCTGATCTGTTATGGTTCAAGTCTACTTCATGGAACATGTCTGAGACAGGCAGTCACACAGCAGACTTCCTGGCCCTCTGGCTCTTAAAGTCTTTCTGCCCCCTCTTCCATGTTGTTCCCTAAGCTTCCATTTTAAAAATAGTATATAATTGTTTTGCACTATAACACAGTGTGTCCACAGTGGCTCCTCTGATCACTATTAAGGAAGCCAGCTGAGGTACAGAACCACCCATAGTGCCTCAAGCTGGCAAATGTCCATCATGAAGGCTTATCTCACAATTTCTTCACTCAGAGGGTAGCTCTTTATGCTACAATTTACATGGTTCTCCTCAAAACTTTCCAAGTATTGTATACAGCCTTGTTGCCCAAATGGATTAGCTACTAGTCTGAGAAAATGTGACTACTCCAAGTGGAGAGATCAATAAAACTTAAAATGTCCACTGGGTTTGGAAAATAGAAACATGGACTATAACTTTGTTTTATATTGAGCATATTTTAAATATATATTATTTTGCATATAGTGAGTTAAATAAAAATACAATTAATTTAGTCTGTTTCTTCAAACTATTTTAAAACCTAGATACTGGACATTTTAAATGATATATGTGGCAAATACTACATATTACTCATTTAATTTTGACTGGACACTGTTAAATTACAGATTAAATGAGCTTGTAAAAGATACTTTGACCTTTCTTATAAAGCCATATGTATATATGTATTTAAAATTTTATAATGTACATATAATTATGTGCATATAATATAGTCACAGAACAAGACAACTTTATAGCCAGGACATTTGTCTTCACTGTCAACCACAACAAATATGTTTGCATGGTGTCTCATAGATACTAAGAAATGTTAATATTGAAAACAGTGCCATAAAGAAAAATGGAGGCTAACTATTAAGAGTTTATTAATCACTCCAAAACTAAAGAGTACTTTATGATAGATCATCTACTAAAGAATTATGTATTTGTTAAGAATACAATTCTAAAGGTCTAAGGGCACAAATTGGCATTTATTTGACTAAACTACCAGGATAAGGCTTGGATACACCCAGAACGTGATGCTTAAGTATGCTCAGAAATAAGTGAAACACAGGTGTAGGAACCCAAGTGAAAGCTTTCAGCTTATGCTGGCATAAGTGTTCTTCATACAACATAAAGGTTGAGTCACTAATGGGCACTATGTTCTAGACCAACAGCTTCAACTCTCAAACCCTTTACTAGCATTCAAAGAAATACCCGGGAGATTGGTGGGATGTGTATTTAACACTGGTCCTTCCTAGGTGCTCAACATGTGTTAAATCATCGCTATGCAGAATAATATAACCCAGCTATGCTGACTCATCCTTATTTAAGGTAATGCTTTCTGTGTGTGAGATTGGTTTAGTGATCACACTTAACAGATTACTTTAGTGCTAACATCATAAAACATGCTAGATTCTCCCATGTTAGTATGATCTTTTCTAGAATTTTCTCTGCTTTGTCTATAATTTGTTCTCTTATGGCTCTAAAAACAACAGAGAGCAGTTAGTAAACCAAAAAGGAATGTTCCTTGATTATTTTAATAAAAAATCTAAGCATGAATCTAGAAATATTGGAGTGAATGAAGTCAAGAAGTCCTAGGAGTGTGCAAATATTGCAGAAATCCAATTCCTAAATTTTTATCACCATTAGTGTTTTGTTCTGCTGTTGTTGTTTGAGTAGGAACTACTTCCAGATGCCCCTTTAAGAACTCAGTTCTTCTCAATGATACATAAAGGGCAGAAAGCAAGCAAGACTTCCCAAACAGTTCATGTTTTCTAAATGTGAAGGAGGATGCTGACCTGAATTTAGCATTTTACTCTTCCAAATAGGAAGATGATGACTATGATTACTAATGTGCTCAGATTGCACAATACATAGGAAAAGGAGCAGGAAATGGATGCTGATGCTCAAATTCCATTGTGTGCTTCTGATGCTGGGGACATTTCTCAAGACTAAAAAATAAAACAAAACAAACAAACAACCCTAACCGACTACTTTTAGGTCACTCTGTCATTTTATGCACACCGAATGGCTACCTGGTACAGCAGTCACATCACAGAATCTCAACTAAGACTTTTATTTGTTACCAGGAATTATAGGTGATTTTTTGTCAATAAAGAGGACACAATATCAAATGCACCCCATCTCAGTAAAGTAACCTCCTTTATGAGCCACGACCCACAGGAAAGTGCTGAAAGGAAAGAAGGATTAACAGAACTGGCCAGTTATCACCCCCAAGACATATCACTATCAAAAATGTAGGGTCACAGTAAAGAAGGCTGGTGTTCAGATGTACTACCTATGTGCTGGGTCTATCTCCTAATTGTTCTCCAAGAAAATAATTCTATGTCCAAGGCTGGCAGAGTTTTGTCCTAAATAAATGGGTCACTTGTAAAGATTGAAGGCACCAAAGCTATGTCCCTCCTTTAAGGATACAGGATGCTCTCCTTTGGAAATAATGGACAATCTAATGCTGAACATCATTGGGTCCTGCATTAAAGGAGCAGTAGAGAGGTGGCTGAACCCAAGAGAAGACACATCAGTGAAGATGTGTGTGAGGCTGATATATGGTATGCTAATGCCTAGGAGTTTGACTGGGGTGAAACATATAACACAGAAGATGGCCCATGGGCAACCATATGACTAGAAGGAATATTGGCGGTAAGAGTGCAGGGTAGGAAGGAGTTGCACAGTGATAGAGCTGACCCTGAGCCATATCCTCCATGGCAGGGAAATAAAAAGTAGGGAAAAAACACAAGGTCCCTTGAATGGACTCCACAGGGCAGCCATAATTTCTCTAATAACCATACTGAGGACTCTAGCAGGTATCAAAACCAACCAAAAGGGCCATATCCTCATCTTACCAAATTCAGCATAGCCTCTGTCAAATACTCCTCTATGTGACAGCCTGAGCAGTTGGGACAAACTTGTAAAACTCTTTGCAGTGCCTATATTTACAGTAATGTGATTGTCATGGAAAAGGGTAGGAAGATGGGGAAGAAAAAGAAAACATAAAAACCAGAGACTCAACACTTAAATAAATAAAATGGACCACCAACAAGTTGATTAAAACAATAAAAATTCACACATTTAAGTCAAAATATAACTAGGTCTAAAGAAAGTGGACAACTGAAAATCAGAGCAACTGGGTGACAGGGAATTAGAGTAGAAGATTAATAAATAAATAAATGAAACTCTTTAATAAAACACTGCATTAGTTATATAAATGGTTAAAATTTTCTAACATTCTGGGGATTTATGAAGACCTAAAAGGTGTGTTTGAGAGCATTCCCTGGAGCTTCATAGGGTTCTGTCTGGGGTTTTATGTAGGCAGTCTAGGTGTGTTGAGAGCATGCCTTGGAGCTTCATAGAGTTCTAGGGTTTTATGCAGGCAGTCTAGGTGTGGTGAGAGCATGTCCTGGAGCTTCATAGAATTCTGGGGTTTTATGTAGGCAGTCTAAGTGTGGTGAGAACATGCCCTGGAGCCTCATTTGCAGGAGATGGTAGTTGGTGGCCAGATGGTGATTGTGGATTGGAGGAAAGAAAGAGCAAGCACAGAGCAGCACCAGATTCAGCAAAGGCCTTGGTTGTGGGTCCTTCCTAGGCTGTGGAACTTGCTGGGCCCTTTGCTAATTAAAGTGCAAACAGCTTGTGGGGTCTGAGAGCCCACCAACTCCAGTGGTGGAATTGCTATTATAGGATCAAGGTAGAGTCAGAGGACCAATGGCAAAGACTACATTAGTCCATGGAAGTCTTTCCTCTCTCCTCTGAAAAGCCAGAAGCTCTTATGAGGGATAAGAGAGAACCTCACACCCTGTGCTTCCTTCTCTGTACTAGCAGACACTCTGGGAACTGGCATTCTGCTCAGTCAACTTGCACTTCAATGTATGCTTGAAATATTCCCTTGGTACATGGGTGAGTGGCTGCTTTCCGTGAGAAGAAATGAATAGCACCCTGTCCTGCACTCCTCAGACTCAGTGGAAGAAAGCTGTCAGGTTCCTGAACGATTTCTAAATGAGCTTTCAGTCACTTCTTTACTCCTCTGAGTGTAGTGGCCTCAGCAATTCTGCTTGTGGGGCTGTTCATTCAGTTTCTGCCACCACCAACTCTGGCCCTGTCTAAGCAGACCACACTAGTACCCCAGTACCCTCTTGCTACTTCACCTTCTGTAGGTTAGAGATGCAACTCTTTGGGTGTGTCAGGCAAGCTTCCATGGATGCACAGTGCTGCACTGAACAGACACAGTAGCCTGTTGCGTGATTCACATCCTAGGAAACAGGAATGGACACCCTGTCCTGACTAGCTCTCTGCTGCTTCTGGATGAGGCAAGAGCTCACACCTGTAATTGCCCTAGTCCACAGGCATCCAGGGGTGTTGGCTTACAGTTGCAATTCAACTGCCTCCAGAACAGTGTCTAGGCTCATCTCTACCATCTAAACTAAATAAAAGAACTCATTTGAGAATAGTTTATTTTCCAGAGACAAGATAAATTCTATTCAATTCAGCAACAAAACAGGTGACTTCTCAGACAGTCACACCCTGGTAATTTAATTGCTTTTGTCAGTTCTCAGACAGGCAGGAAGCCAGAGAATATCCAAATCATTAACTTACAAAGGACTTGTGTACCTTTGCAAATATAAGAAGCACCTACCCCAACTTCTGGCGGGGGATCCTTGTGCTCCAGAAGGACACTGGTTCGAATCTGTGGAGAAAAACAAACATTCCCTATGTGACTTCTGAATAGATACTTGAGCATAATTTACACACAGGTCCTGAGTTTCTTATTTTCTTCTTCTGATGTCAATTCAAACTTGTGAGTTAATCATTGATGAAAACACCTGCCCTTGGTATCCACTGCAATAAAGCTATCTTTTTACAGTTCAAAATCTTCCTGACTTCTCCAGTGGACAAAGCTCCTTGGCCCTCACCCATCTCCTCTTCCTCAGAAGCAGACAGACATCTGGGACTTAAGTGAGTCACCTTTATCTTCTCAAATCTTTTTATTCACTGTTCCAAAGGAATGATAAAAAAATAAAATGGTAGAGAGAAAGTTATTCCAAGAATGCTGGATGACTGTCTCTGAATGAGATCCAATCCCAAGCTCCTCCTTGGAGATCCCTTCCCTCTGAAAACTCTGGCCCATATGATAGGGCAGTGACTTCTGAATTAATTTGAAAAGTAAATCTCACTCAATGGTAAAAGGATTTTTAAAAAATCCATCACCAGGAGAGGTTTGCTACATGAATATCCCGAGTGAACATGACCCTTTTGAATAATTAGGAATGCACATTATATGGAGTGATGGTTATCTACCCTTGTTTTCCACTAGAATTGTGGGGGTATTTCAAACTATTTGTGTTCATCCTTGCTACCCCCGATTTTCTGAGTCTTATTCTGTAGTTAATGAGCCTAGTTCACCTAAGGGAAATAAAAAGCTCCAAACAGGAGAGAGCTAGGTTGTCTTTCTCACATAAGAGAAAAGACAGCAAGAACAAATAAGACTGGCCTGACAGCCTTTGAAATAAAAATGAGATGAGACAGTTGAATGAGTACAGGGCAATAGGAAACTGTGACCTGCTTAACTGGAGAGCAAGAGTCAACAGGGATGGGAATGGATGAACAGATCAGAAGTATGCTGTGGAAAAGGTTTCCTGAGGTCATTCTAAGAAAACCCCTTTAGAAGTACAGCTGTGTGAGTTCCTGAGGATCTGATATACCCTAGTATCACAGGTCAATGGTCCTAAGAAGAAGGTGCAGCTACAATATACCTAGTAGTGTCAAAAGGCTCCATCCAGCTTTAGTGTCAAAAGACTTCATCCAGATTTTATGTCCCATGTATCTTCAACACAGTCTCTATGCCTGAATAAATTCATGTGCTATGAAGGTAGAACATGCCTTTTGATTCTCAGCTTACAGCTGTTTATTTCTTATGGCAGATCCAGTTCTATCACTTGCACAATTTGTCAGTCATTATTCTACCAAATGGTTTACCAGTGGACAAAGGCAATGACACGAGAGACACCAAGAGAGTGAGCAATAAACTGTACAGAACATACTCAGCCCAGAATGTGTGGTGTAAGGCTCCCTTGCTAAGAGTTCGGTAGCTTGATAGCTGCATGCAATTTCTTTGGCCATGTTCACTATTCACTCTCACTATCTGAGAGCCATCAGCTACCCTCAGAAAGATGGGAAAAATATATACATACTGAACTATTAGGAATCATGGAGAGCATACACACACAAACACACACACACACACACACACACACAGCCTTGCTATTGTTCCTTTCTTCATAGTTAGCAGACTATGCAAAGACTATGCAAAGGCTCAAGACATGTAGGAGTGCATAAAACAGTTGATTTAAGGTATATGTATGTGCATATATTGAGAGAGACAAAGTTAGGATAATACTAACAATTCCAACATGGCCCATTAAACTCACATATTCATGTCTTATAAATATTAATAAGTTGTAGAAGATAGAAGATTCTTTATCCCAAGTCATATACATAAAAAATTAAAGATATCATGGCCTGGTTTCCTATATTCTGTGAATGTGTGTTGGGGAGGGAAAGGGGGGATACGAAAGGACAGAGAAAATGAACTTATTATTTATTTGGAATATCAGAAGGTTAAGTGCAGGTTTATCGAGTGTTAAAATGTTTGAGTTGACACTGTTGGTGTCATGGCACAGCCTTGCTTACATGCAGAGTATCCTATTGCATATGCTCAAGGCTGTGTAGAGAACAGTGGTTTGCTAGGGGAGAGGGGCCTGTCTTTCTCTATGGGGCTGCAGTATCTCGTGGCTGTGACAAATATAAAACCTTCAAGTACAATATAGCATGTGCTACAATAGAGATGTGAGCATTTGCACTCAGTGTTTAGATGGGAGAATAAAGATTCTTGGTCTCAGGGTATCAGGGGATGCTGCACAGCAGAGGTGCTCAGAGTCTTGAAAAGTGAGCAGGAGTTTTCAGTAAGGAGGTGCACAAGGAAGCATAAAGGGTGTAAGGTAACAGGCATTCACCACACAGCTGCTAAAGCCTTTGTAGAGAATTTGTTCCCCAGGATGCTTCAGGGAACTCACAAGAAGTGACTTGATTTAAGTAGGTTTGGAGATGTAGATTGGGTACAAAATGTAGAAGGCCATGATATTACATAGTTGGAACCTTTTTGTTTATATACTTCTCCCAGGCAACAGGAAATCAGGGAAGGCTTTGGTGGCTAGCATTTGAATCAGCCCCAATCCTTCTGGGAGCTCTGAGCCACTGCCCTTCTGCTTTTGTGTTGGCTTTTTTAATAAGACTAGTGTAAGTCATTGCATTGTATCCCTTTCAGCCCTTGGGGGCTGTTGTGGGCTACAGAGAGAAGGTAAGGAGTGAGAGCAGCATTAAGGAAGTGGAATAAATGAGGCAAGAAAGAAGTAAGGTAAGAGGGAAACAGACAGATGACAGAGGAATTGAGAATAACAGAGTAACCATAATGTGGGAGAGGACAGGAGGCTGCTACTGACAACACAGTTCTGAAAAAAACTTAGACGTGGCATCTAGGCCTCTAGCTGAAAAAGGTATGAAGCCATGGCTATTTCTGTGATATTTGGAATGTTCTAGTTCCTCACCATATCATGCCTCCTGAGAATTAATGGCCTTCCTTGGGAACTCATTTTTCTCTTTTTAGGTCTTAACATTTTTTCCTACTGAGTGTCTTCAATGTGCCTTTCCCAGAAGTTTCCCAGAACAACAACAAAAATGTCTACCCAACTATACAATCAATGGCCTCATGGCTTTGTCTAGAAATTTAGGACAACAAATAAATCAAGGTAGACCAGGTGCTGTGTGTGACCCCATGCATGCTCACACTCTGAATGTTATCTTGCTTATCCACTAAGACACATAAAGCAAATTGCTTTCCTGACTTTTTAACCTTCTATCAACCCCAGAAATTCAAGGTTCACAGATGTTAACTTTGATATGATAACCACATGCTAGCAGGTAGGGAGTAACGCAACTCCTTGCAGAATACTTTGCTAACTTTCAAAGGGAAGTACCAGGATATGACTCCAATAGGTGAACATAGCATATTCAAGTTCAGTTCCCCAAGGAAAACTCCAGAAGTTAGTGATTCTTATTATACAGAACGTGAAAACTGCTGTCTCAAGGGTAAAGACTGCAGCATTTTCACTGGTAAGTAACCAAGCATGTGGCAATGAGGTGTGCTGGAGATCCAGAGACAGCCAAAGAGAAGGTCATGTTGTCAAAAGTCTTTGTCCCTGGCTACATTTCCTAGACATCAGGTTGGTCCATTTCTGCATTGGTAAACAAGGAGGGAGCAACCTCCTCTAGATAGACACAGATGGAATGAAGGGAGAAAGTTGGTGATCATCTCCCATCCTCCAAGCTGATAACGAATTGGATATAGAATCAGTCTTTATTTCTTATTATAGATGTTGCTCTAGACCCCTGTGCATGTGGACATTTTCTTGCTCCACTTTGATGAGAAATGCACCTACCTTGATATTGAAACATGAAACTATGATGGGGACAGAAATGTCTACCTCCTTCTGTAATATGAACATTCTGTAAGGAAGTATCTCAGGACAGCCTTCACTCATGTATGACCCTGTAACTCAATCCCATCATCTCTGTCAGCATATGTCAGGAACATGGGATTTCTCAAGAGGGTACAGTATGCCTTCTTACTTGTGTCTTTGTTCTAATGGCCAGTAGACAGGTCACCCAATATCTGGCAGCAGACAAGCTGCATACTTTGAGAGCCAGTCTCACCACCAATTATCAACCAACAACCACGAACCAGCATGTCTCTATATTAACTGGTTGTAGAAATTTTTACTGGTGTGTAACAAGTTTAACTGACTGCCTAAAACAAAGTGTGCTGATTTGTTTACAGTTCTACCAAGACCCTGGGTGTGGGAAGAATGGTTCTCCAGGCAGATGTCAAAGGCTGGGACCCAGAGGCAAGTTGCCCATGCCCTCATTTAGAGACTTCACTAGAGAAGCCCCGCCTCCATGCTCCCACAGGCTTTGAGGAGAACCAGTATCTCCCACAGCTTTAGAACAGAAGTCCTCATTTTCTAGATGACTGTCGCTGAGACAAATGAAAATGTCAGAGGCCTCACATTTGCATTTCTTACTGTGTGACCTCCTCCATGTTCAAATCAATCACTAGAAAATTCTTTCTGAAAAGAGACCCACATGCACCACTGGGAAGAGCGCCCCTGCCTCCAAGGAGGAAGCATACTCCTGCCAGTGCCATGGCAAACTAAGTGGAGCAAAGAGACCCACATGCAGGCCCACACCTGGCACCGAGGAGAAAATAAGGGCTACTTGGCACCTTGTGACTCCAGGAAGGTGAGGCACTGTTATGGTGAATAAATGTATGATATGGTATGAGAGAGAGAGAAGAGAAAAAGAGAGAGAGAGAGAGAGAGAGAGAGAGAGAGAGAGAGAGAGAGAGAGAGAGAGAGATATGAAAGTAGTGAAGAGCCTGATGAGGTAAGTGGCTTCATTGCCAAGGTGATGTCTGGGCCTGGAATGTTTCTGTGGCACATGTCTGGGTTCATGGCCCTTTTGCAGCCACAGCCTGAGTTGATGTTCGAGTCTCATGATACCACCAAAGGCAAAGCAAATAGGGCTATACAGAGTTGGCCCCACCCCTCACTGGCTACAACATTAGGGAGAACT